ACTCAATCGCCCTGGGGATGAGTACCATGGAGTACCACAGCAACCTCAGACTCCTGGGCTCAAGCAATCCTTTTCCCTAAGCCTCCTGAGTAGCTGGGACTACAGGTGCCCACCACAACACCTACTTAATTTTTTCTATATTTAGCAGAGATAGGGTCCCACTCTTGCTCAGGATGGCCTCAAACGCCTGAGCTCAGGCAATCTACCCACCTTGGCCTCCCAGAGTGCTAGGATTACAGGCGTGAGTCACTGTGCCCCGTCTGTCACTAGTTTTTTAGTTAACTTGGGAGTATACAGGAAGACTTTGGAGGTAGGGGAGACACAAATTAAAACTTGTACCTCAAAACTAGATGCAAAATTTTACGTACGTGTGTGAGTGCTTTTTCTTAGGGAATAAAACTGACAACTCTCTGAACAGCAGATATTCAAAGGGGTCTACAAACCACTTCTCAACCATACACTAATCAGAACTGCTGTGCTAACCCCCAGAGATTACTGAAAACCAGAAGTCATTAAATGAGTGAAGTAAACTAGAGCTGACTATGCCAAGAATAATTAGTGTAAATCACATGAGTATATATCATACCTATGATGTAAGGAATGAAACTGGCCTCAAAGTTAATCTAACAATAAAATTAAAAAAGAATATACTGAAAAAAAAATTTTTTTTTTTTTGAGACAGAGTCTCATCATGTTGCCCTGGGTAGAGTGCCATGGCATCACAGCTCACAGCAACCTCAAACTCTTGGGCTTAAGTGATTCTCTTGCCTCAGTCTCCCAAGTAGCTAGGGCTATAGGTGCCCGCCACAACGCCCAGCTATTTTTTGGTTGTAGGTGTCATTGCTGTTTGGCAGGCCCGGGCTGGGTTGGAAACTGCCAGATCTGGTGTATGTGGCTGGCACCCTGGCCGCTGAGCTACAAGTGCTGAGCCAATACTGAACTTCTAACATACTATATCGTTCAAAGAACAGAAGTTGACAAATTTTCAAAGAGTAAGAGGTGGCAATGAGATAGAACAGAAGGGCCAAAATTAGAGCAAAAAGAATATGATAGCCTCCTTAAGTCATGTTTTCCATGGTGTTCATCAAGAACATCTGGCACAAAGAAAGATAACACAGATACAAAAGGTACCCCATAGATGCAATTCTAGTTTGGAATAAAAAAAAAAAATTACATATCAGCATTAATTGATCCTCCCTAGGGCAAAAGGAACAATGAATGATCCAAAAACCCAAATAACCTAAGCCAAATTGCCTAATCTCCAGAATGAGAGACAGAAAATTAGGAGACAGATGGCAAGCTCCTCCTTCCTACTCCATGAGTGGGAGAGACTTAGGACATATGAGGAAATTTGGTATACCTCGTGTGAGATTATTCCCATCTAGGAATTAGTATCCCCAAGAGGGAAGGAAGCCAACTACTTTTCCACTTGTCTCGGATGTAAATAAACACCTATGTAATTTTTAGTCTCATGAGTTCAAGTACTATTTATTTCCCATCAATAAAAAGATCTTCTAGTAACTAAAATAAGTGAAGGAGGAAACGGAACTAATACTTGAGTGTCTATTATGTACTAGACCCTTCAGTTTATTTATTTATTTATTTTTTGAGACAGAGTCTCACTTTGTCACCCTTGATAGAGTGGTGTGGTGTTGTAGCTCACAGCAACCTCAAACTCTTGGGCTTAAGTGATTCTCTTGCCTCAGTCTCTCGAGTTGCTGGGACTATAGGCACTGGCCACAACGCCCAGCTATTTTTTAGAGATGGGGTCTCGCCAAGGCTCAGGCTGGTCTTGAACCTGTAAGCTCAGGCAATCCACCCCACTTGGCTTCCCAGAGTGCTAGTGGACTCTTTAGTTTATTAATCTTATTTAACTCTTCACAGTAATCTTCTGGTAGAGATTACTACACCCATTTTACAGATGAGAAAACGAGGCTTAGTTAATTGATTTGGTCAAAGTCACCCACCTAACAAGTGGTAGAGCTGAGATATGAACTCAGATTTTCCTGATTCTAAAGATTATATTCTTTCTTCTCTTCAAACCTACCTTTATCAAGTCATGGAACATCTGTAAAAATAAAACATTTTGTAAAAACAATTCTATACCTGGTATTCATATGAAGTCTTGGAAGAGGATACATAGGCTCCATGATATCTGGTGAATGATTTATTTAATTTCAAATCCTTGGTATCCTAAAGAAGTAAAGAGAATATTACTAGTAAGTAATAAAAACAAGGAATAAGAAAATTACTTAATCATATATTAACAATTAAGGGCAAAATTAGGTTCCTTATATGAAGAGTGACTATAGATTAATAATAGTAAGTGTTTATAGATTCTACTGATCACCTTCATACTTTACAGTCCTTCTACCCATAACTTACTGTTAACATTTACTTTAAGCAACAAAATCTACCAACATATCTATTCATTTAGAAAAGCACAGATTTTGCTATAAAATCTTTGTATTCATTTAGTGAGCTGGGTAGGACAGGTGTATTTAATGTATGAGTATTTAAATTTTTTTTGAGACAGGGTCTCACTATCACCTAAGCTGGAGTACAGTGGCATTATGACAGCTCTGTATAACCTCAACTCCCAGGTCCCTGAGTAGACAGGACCACAAGTGGACACCAGCATGCCAGGCTAATTTTTAAAAATTTTAGTACAGATGGGGTCTCCCTGTATTGTCCAAGCTGGTCTCAAACTCCTGGCCTCAAGTAATCCTCCCACCTTGGCCTCCCAAAGTGCTGGGGTTACAGGCATGAGCCACTGAGCTCAGCCTAAGGTATGAGATTTCAACCAAAATCCTCAGAAAACCAGAAAAGCAATAGATAGAAACAATTTGAGCTAGATATTTATTAAGCCTATACTAAAGTCATCAAAAAATCTTCAATCTTCTGGCAATAGAAGATTACTAACTTGTAACATTAAAAAAAAAAATCACATGCACCCCTTTTTTTTGGCTCCACTTGCCCTCTCTAACCCTCTCATTCACTACCACAGCTTTCCCATGTATCTGTACAGAGTGAACTTTCAGCTTCCACCTCTCTTCTGAGTTTCGAACTCTGATTTCCAATTGCCAGTTGAATAGCTCCATCTAAATATTATTGAAGCAAATTACAGATCTTTTAGTCCTTTCTTTATAGTTCAGTATTTCCTATATTCTTTTAAGTCCTAGAGTTCTTTAGGCCCTGCACATTCTGCTTCAATTCCAGAAAAAATGAATTGTCTGAAGCAAAATAAGGAATTGGCAATACAGGTGCAGAAATCATTTTGAAGATAATTTTTAGGCAAGTCAAAGATTAAAAATATTTACAAAAACAAATTCCTATGGAACGTACACTTAGAAAGTTGACTAAAAAGTCCTTCCTAGAGATATCTGGGCTTCACAAGTTTAAGGCAGCTTCTGCAGAAGAATGCAGGCTTTAACCTCTAAAGCCTCTCCATAGTACTTACTTGTCACCGATAACAGTATTCAGACTCTACAAAGTATATTATGTGGCTCATGCGGCTAAGGAGCCGGCCACATACACCTAAGGTGGAGGGTTCGAATCCCCAGCCCGGGCTGCCAAACAACAATGATGGCTGCAACCAAAAACTGGCCAGGCATTGTGGCTGCGCCTGTAGTCCCAGCTACTTGGGAGGCTGAGGCAGGAGATTCGCTTGAGCCCAGGAGTTAGAGGTTGCTGTGAGCGTGATGCCATGGCACTCTACGCAGGGGGATAGCTTGAGGCTCCGTCTCAAAAAAAAACATATTCCTCACTTTAAAACAATACACATAGGTATTTTGTTCTGACAGTATTTCACAAGCAATTAAAGCTACTGAAACTAAAACCACACAAGACCTAGCAAAACATATTCTCCTCAGGTAATGGCATCATGTGTCAAATGGAAATCACCGCCATCCTCACCTTCTCCTCCCTCTTACCCCCATAAACACTCTTTCCAACCCCACCACTTTAGTTGCTAACTTCATCACCTCTCGCCAGATTTACTGCAACGTCTCCACAGTGCTGCTAGCAGGGTATTTCTATGTGAAACTGATCAAGTTACTCTCCAGCTTAAAAAGTTGAGGGATCTTCTTTATACATATAAGAATCTGGCCCCACCCTATTATTCGAACCTTATCCATCATCCATTCACCCTACACCCTAAATTGAATTCCTTGCAGTGTCCCAGTTCCAGAATCTGAACAGGCTACCCCCACCCATTTACTTGGAATGCCCTGGTAAATCTCCCAACGTCCCTCCCAATCCAACTCGAATGTCACTTCCTCTGAAACTTTCTTCTAGATACCATGGTGATGTTACTATCGCCTCTGTGTTCACACACGTAGCATTTTCACGGTTTGCTGTTTACACAGTACTTCCAGTAGACCACGAACTCCAAACATTAACTGATTCCTTACTACATAGCAGGAATGCAAGGGCAAGCATTCAGAGTTTCAATCCTAAAAAAAAAAAAAATGCCTACAGTAAAAACAACTTCAAAAGATAAACCTCTTTCACAAACCTTAGTACAGTCGATTCCAAAAGAACTCACAATCCGCGTACTTTCTCGCACTAGGCTCCTCTCGTCGTCGGCCCCGGGCTCTCGAGCCCAGCACAGGGCTCTGAATGTTACCCACTGTCCTTCCCGGGCTCCGCTGCCGCCCGTAGGGGGAACCAGGAGAACAAAGCCCCAGTCACCGCAACCTCCGCCGAGATACAGTCTGTTTGTGCGGTCGGAGCAGAGGCTGGCTCCAAGGAGCGCCTCTCCCGACTGCGGCCCCGCCTCTGAGACGTTGGGGTCGCGGGAACCCAGGCGGCAAAGCCAAGCTCGCGAAGCCGAGAAAGCCTCACTGCGCCTGCTTACTGGTCAAAAACCCCGCGGGTCAGAGAGCGGAGGCGGTACCGTACACGTCACTCACAGTCACCCGGACGTTTCGGGCGCCAGCCAATCAGCACCCCGCAGAGGCTCACGCTCGACCAATCCCAACCCTCTTTGAGAACTAAAAGCGCCACTGGCGCGCCAGGATCAGGATTCCGAGGATTTAAACCCCTCATTTTTATCAACGGATAAGTTCCGGGGTGGGGTCGGGCCTGCGCACGCGCAATGAAAGCCCAGCTGGGTAGGCGTGAGTGTGGCAGACCAAGTCGGAAGTGCTAGCTCCCTTGATCGTAGCTTAGTTATCGGAATAGGACACCTCAGGAACAGTCCCCAAACTCTTTACATGAAAGCACAAAAGTGAAGGGGAAGTTATATTTTTCGATTTCTTTTCTAAGAAGCATTCTCTAATCTTAATAAGAAAAAGTTTTTTAAAGTTCTGTTGAGCAGAAAAGAAAGTGACAGATTTATAAATCATATATATTTACCTACACAACCAATATTAGTATTATATATAGTTATATATAGTCAGCCCTCTGTATTTCTGGGTTCTGCAACCGAGGATTCAAGGAACAATGGATGGAAAACACTCAGAAAAAATAAAAATATAAAATAACAATATAACAAAAATACAAATTCTAAAATACATTATAACAATGATTTACATAGCATTTACATTGTATTAGGTATCATAAGTATTCTAGAGATGATTTGTGCATAGGTTATATGCAAATACTAGGCCATTTTATATAGCAGACTTGAGCATCCACTATTTTAGATTCCCTCAGGTTCCTGGAACCAATCCCTGAAAGATACCAATGGCATTAATATGAATATGGTAATATGGCTCAGCACCTGTGGCTCAAGTGGCTAAGGCACCAGCCACATACACCTAAGGTGGTGGGTTCGAATCCAGCCCAGGCCCACCAAACAACAATGACGGCTGCAACCAAAAAATAGCCGGGCATTGTGGCCGGCGCCTGTGGTCCCAGC